TTTTATTTGGTGTGCAAAGTGGAAACAAAACTACAGATGCAACAAGGGTGGAAAATGTATTTGTTGAACCATGAGGAAAGCTGGGCTCATCCGGGATTTGAACCCGGGACCTCTCGCACCCAAAGCGAGAATCATACCCCTAGACCAACGAGCCATGGAACCTGGGTTTTATTTGGTGTGCAAAGTGGAAACAAAACTACAAATGCAACAAGAGTGGAAAATTTAGTTGTTGAACCATAATGCAAGCTGGGCTCGTCCGGGAATTAAACCCGGGACCTCTCGCACCCTAAGCGAGAATCAAACCCCTAGACCAACAAGCCATGGAACATAGGAATTCTTTTGGTGTGCAATGTGGAAACAAATCTACAGATGCAACAAGGGTGAAAAATTTAGGTGTTGAACCATAATTAAAGCTGGGCTCGTCCTGGATTTGAACCCGCGACCTCTCGAACTGTAAGCGAGAATCGTACCCCTAGACCAACGAGCCATGTTGTATTGGTTTTATTTGCTGTGCAAAGTGCAAAAAACTACAGATCCAACAAGGTTGGAAAATTTAGGTGTTGAACCATAATTAAAGCTGGGCTCGTCTAGGATTTGAACCCGGGACCTCTCGCACTCAAAGCGAGAATCAAACCCCTAGACCAACGAGCCTAGGTGTATGGGTTTTTATTTGTTGTGCAAAGTGGAAAGAAAACTACAAATGCAACAAGAGTGGAAAATTTAGTTGTTGAACCATAATGAAAGCTGGGCTCGTCCGGGATTTGAACCCGGGACCTCTTGCACCCGAAGGAAGAATCATTCCCCTAGACCAACGAGCCATTGAACATGGGTTTTCTTTTGGTGTGCAATGTGGAAACAAAACTATTGATGCAAAACACATGGAAAATATAGGTGTTGAACCAAAATTAAAGCTGGGCTCGTCCGGGATTTGAACCCGGGACCTTTCGCACCCAAAGCGAGAACCATACCCCTAGAACAACGAGCCATGGAACCTGGGTTTTATTTGGTGTGCAAAGTGGAAACAAAACTACAGATGCAACAAGGGTGGAAAATGTATTTGTTGAACCATGAGGAAAGCTGGGCTCATCCGGGATTTGAACCCGGGACCTCTCGCACTCTAAGCAAGAATCATACCCCTAGACCAACGAGCCATGGAACCTGGGTTTTATTTGGTGTGCAAAGTGGAAAGAAAACTACAGATGCAAAAAGAGTGGAAAATTTAGGTGTTAAACCATATTTAAAGATGGGTTCGCCCGGGATTTGAACCCAGGACTTGAACCCGGGACCTCTCGCACCCAAAGCGAGAATCATATCCCTAGACCAACGAGCCATGGTGTATGGGTTTTATTTGATGTGCCAATGTGGAAACAAAACTACTGATGCAACAAGAGTGGAAAATTTAGTTGTTGAACCATAATGAAAGCTGGGCTCGTCAGGGATTTGAACCCGGGACTTCTCGCACCCAAAGCGAGAATCATACCCCTAGACCAACGAGCCATGGAACATGGGTTTTCTTTTGGTATGCAATGTGGAAACAAAACTACTGTTTCCAAACACATGGAAAATATAGGTGTTGAACCAAAAGTAAAGCTGGGCTCTTCCGGGATTTGAACCCGGGACCTCTCGCACCCAAAGCGAGAATCATACCCCTAGACCAACGAGCCATGGAACCTGGGTTTTATTTGGTGTGCAAAGTGGAAACAAAACTACAGATGCAACAAGGGTGGAAAATGTATTTGTTGAACCATGAGGAAAGCTGGGCTCCTCCGGGATTTGAAACCAGGACCTCTCGCACCCTAAGCAAGAATCATACACCTAGACCAACAAGCCATGGTGTATGAGTTTTAGTTGGTGTGCAAAGTGGAAAGAAAACATGGTGTATGGGTTTTATTTGATGTGCCAAAGTGGAAACAAAACTACAGATGCAACAAGGTTGGAAAATTTAGTTGTTTAACCATAATTAAAGCTGGGCTCAACATGGATTTGAACCCGGGACCTCTCACCCCCAAAGCGAGAATCATACCCCTAGACCAACGACCCATGGAACATGTGTTTTCTTTTGGTGTGCAATGTGGAAACAAAACTACAGATGCAACAAGGTTGAAAAATATAGTTGTTGAACCATAATGAAAGCTGGGCTCGTCCGGGATTTGAACCCGGGACCTCTCGCACCCAAAGCGAGAATCATACTCCTAGACCAACGAGCCATGGAACCTGGGTTTTATTTGGTGTGCAAAGTGGAAACAAAACTACAGATGCAACAAGGGCGGAAAATGTATTTGTTGAACCATGAG